AATAAATAAAGTATATATGTTCAACAGCTCTGTTACCGTGTCCCAGATCTGCAGTTTAATCTGTTTGCCGTCTATGGTGATCATCCTCGCTCCAAACTCTACACCTAAAAAGAAAAGATTAACACAAAAACAACAGGTTTACTATACAGCAAGATCATAGTGTGTAATGTAGTGCTGAAGCTGTCAAAGGGTTAAACTTCTTTAACATGTTTAATCACAAGGAAGCTGTGTGTTAACCACAATTAAACATGATGAATCAAAATTAATCAACATTCTTAAACATTTTTTAACAGCAGGTGGATGTATAAATGTATAAAAATCTCAAGTTACATAATAATAATTCAATATTTGGGTCTAGTGAGCCCAACGTCAACTAGTGCAGACTAGGCTGCAAGTAACAGAGGCAAAAGTTGACGCTAAAAGAAAGTTGCAACTAAAATGTGTCTTAATGTATAAAACACTAAAAGGAAAGCTAAGAATTACTGGTGTTCTTACCAATAGTGAGGTCGTGAACTGGCTGAAACCTCTTGTCTGTGAACTGTAGTAATAGACATGACTTCCCAACACCTGCAAGACAGATAAATTCAAATAAGAGTGGTGACAAAATTATATTAAAGTGTGACACGCACAACCAAAGTTCCCACAAGTGATGGGGGTAAAAAGGTTAGAAAGTCACTTCAAATATTTAATCTGTAAACACCCAGAAGGCACTGTGCTGCCGTTCACTGACAGTGTAGTTACACATGGACTGTGGTAAATATATGCGCTCAGTTCTAATTGATTTAGGTCAATTATAGTAACATCTTGGTCATTATTCACTTAAAATAACCCTGAGACATTGTGCCACTCATCTTGTATCGTTGTAGTCTTTCGTGCTAACTTCAGCTTTGTGTGTTAGTGGAGCAGCTGGTTCTGTTGTTTGTATAAAAGCCACTGTTGGCTTTCCAAACGCCCTGTAGAATCTGCTCCTCATTAACACCTCTCCAGAGCTCGACTGCAGCACTGGATGTGCTGTAGACTGGAAAACTCTCAAGAATCCTGGCTTCTCTGACACAAAACCGTCATCTCTGTCTGACGTAAAAGACGGGTGAAATGCGTCATAATTGTTCACTGAGGTTGCTTTAAAAAATGTCGAATATGAATTAGGACCATGATTATAATTTAGGACCACATATGACAGGGGCCTGGGACTGATTTAAAAAATATATATATATATAAAAAATAGTTGTCTGAAGTAACCACTATTTATTTACTATCTTGAACCAACCTGACCTTTCTCCTTTGAACCCTGGCATCATCAGAGTAATTTCACAAGAGACGCTCTGGAATCTCGTCACCTAATTTCTCCATGTAAATGTCAAAACACGGTAAAGAATACGACTGTTGGTTGAGCAGTTTGTGAAATACCAAACTGAATGCTCATTATGCAATTAAGTAGACTTTTGAAAACCCACTGACAATACATGTGAAGTAATAACCTAGTGGGAGGCTGAGGATGGGAGAGCATGCTAATGAGATGACTTGGAAACAGAGAGACACAGATCATCGGAGGTGACACGGAGGTTTGTGGTCTTCCTCCTCTTAGTTTCCAATGGTTACCACTGCGAGGCAGTACGTTGCTAGGCAGGAATGGTGTGATGATGATAATCATCAGAGATGGAGAGAGACACAAAGATCAGAAGAAGTGCAGCTACACAGATCTGTTGCCGTTATGTCATTGTCACCTCCATTGTGTGTGTGCTACATGTACAATACAGGACTATTCAGCTTTCAGTTGCCGTGTGTCAGAGAGGAATAAAATTAGTCCCTCCATATGATAATGGTTATTTATGCTCTTTGAAGGCAACTTCTTTCAATCTTTGCCTTCAGGTTATGACACAAATTTAAGGAAAAAAAAATCCAGTTAAATTCTGAAATGATGTTAGAGGCAAAACGTCTGTTGACATTACTACAACAATGCTATTTGTACGTAGTTCATGCAAACACTAAGTTAACTGAAGATGAGCTTTGTGGAGTATAACCCCGGGGCTTGATCAATACAGTGTCTCCTGTGAGGAACCAACAGCAAAAGTCACAATCTCCTTAACAAGAAAGATCTCAAGATGAAATTTACAACAACAACAACCACCACCACCACAACAACAACAACAACAACAACAACAACAACAACAACCTAAAACCAGATTCAGCACCAGTGTGTGTGGGGTGGTACATTAATGTTGACGTAACATTCAGCTGGTTCACAGCACGGTGACGAGCAAAGATAGGAAACGTTTCATCACAACGACAGCCATTTCTGGAAATTACATCTGCAACAGGTTAGTGGTGATCCACATGCAAACAAACCTCAACTATTCACAGTTAAAGTAGCATGTCTCCATAGACGTCTGACTTAAAAATAAAGTTATTTAATGTATTTATTTTATTTTGCTTAATACTTTTCAGGGTAATGGGGTGGAGCTCACCCCAAGTTGTTCAACTGTCCCTCAGTGGGTCATACTCAAACCTATGGTCAATTAAAGGTGAATAGACAACCTTGTGGCAAATGTGCAAGTTTTTGGAGCATTAAAGTAAACCAGAGAACCTGTCACATTTACACACAGGGAGTAAATACAAACTCCATACATAAAGACAGACAGGGAATTGAACCAGTGACCTGCTTGCTGTAAGGTGAGAGCGCAAACCAAAGCTTACCCTGTGTGTCCCTGCACAAACAACAATGACTGAATGAGTTCATTATATTAATTCAATCCATCAATTTAAAAAAAATCATTCAATTGATTAAATTAATAAAATATCTCACAACTGTCTTCAAACTGACTAGCTTTATAAATGGTAAAACAAAACCCCACAAAGACCACGAACAGGAAAAGGAAATAAGTTATCATATTAAGTTTCTTAGGATTTAAAAATAAGTGAAAAAGAGGCATTTTGATGTGGACTTTAGTCATTTTAAACTGAAAACATTCATTAGTTGTTGTTGACCTCATTTGCATGATCAGTGACTAATTCTGATTAACTCACAGCAATAATAAGAAAATAAAACAAATATAAATAGTGTGACTGTGTTTGTGGTTAGGTGTAGGTTATCTTCCAATGTGACAGAATTCAATATTAATTTAAAAGTAAACCGGTTAAAAGTGACTGCAACTTTTGATACACTAAAGGTCAGTAAAAAAAAAAAAAAGAAAAAGAAAAACAGAAAGAGAAACTCTGGAACTTTGAACACAGGTCCACCAGACTATTTTTGGTGCAAGCATACATATAATCAGGTTAGTTTCTTGGTTGCAATACTGACTTCAGCAACCAGAGGTAAACAGCCATGTAAACAGCCATGGCAGGCAATACCTCTTTTGCAATAGCATCTGGTTATCAACATAAATCTCCTTAGCAACCATCCAAAGGTTAAACGTCTACCTGAAGAATTGTTTCTCTGTAAATCTTGAGAGACTTAACTAAGGATTAGTATTACAATTGAGTATTCAGATGATTTGTTTTTTTTTTTTCAAATATGTGAGCAGAACTTCCAATACAATACACAAGAAACAGAAGAAAAGCCACATGTTGGTCTTGAAAACATAAATAAGACGTCTTCAAAACTGTGGGTTTAGTCCACAAACCTTAAATCATTACATAAACCTTAACATTATAAAACAGAAGCATTTTAATGTGCACCTGCTCCACAGGAGAAGGCCCTTCACCAAAGCTAACTGATATCAAACACATGACATGACCGTGCTTTAACACAGGATCATAAAAAAAATAGAACAACAAACGGCGTTTATGAAAATGTCATATCTAGAAAAAGTGCACAAACAACAAGTTTGAGTGAATTTCACGGCTTTAGCTTAGACATTTTGGCCTTTAACAAACCACCAGACTTGGTTTTCACCATCCTCCTATTTTCAAGATACACAAATGAAAGAGAATAAACACAAAAGACGTCAATGTTTCACGTTTACATGTAAAGATACACCGAAATGTAAAGCCCAGTGTTGGCAGCTGCTTGAACGTTAAGGTAACAAAAGCAAACGCTAGCTTGACAGTTAGCAGCGGCTGTGCTAGCGGCGGATACACCTCCACCCTCGACGAGAGCAGACAAAGGGCCCAAAGTTCTCTTTTTATTTGTCAACAAGGGTTATTCTAAAGTCGTATACAGCAACCCCGTGGCACTAAGATTGTGCACAACGTTACGGAAAGAACAGAGTGTTCAAAATTCTCTGTTTGAGTGTTAACGGTGAATATTTGGACCTGTCATCCCACTGCCTGCGTCTCGGCTTTTACCACGTCATTGGACAGACCAACACTGCGGAAATACTGGGCTCAGCTAACAGCGCTAGCATCGCTAACAGCCCAGAGATAGCTGCCGTACTCACTACAGGCCTACCCGTGTCTCCGATGATGATGTATTTGAAGAGGTACGCGTAAGCCATGGCCCCTGCTCGGTACAGTCAGTTGTGTCGACTGTCACACTCTCGTCAAATCAACTCTGAAGTGTGTGAAAAAGATCGCTGTCACACTGTTAGCCTGTTTTTTCCTGGCTGTGCTGCTGACGAAGGAACAATAAACACCCGAAGACTCCTCGTTACGTCATACGACCCGCCCTCGCCACGCTACAATATGATACATTGAGAGTCTCCTCGGAAAACGTTGAGGTGTGTTTGCGTCCCCGCTGTATAATTATTGGCGTATTGTGTATTTTAATTGGCTTTTAAGTTATGCTCAACATTCTAATTACGAATTATCAAAGGTCTGTTCAAAGGACTCACTTATAAAACATTTACTTGCAATTATACTAAATCATACAATGTACAAACAATCGCTACATTAAAACAAATGAAACTAATCACACAACATAAAATGGATTCTAAATAAAGCATTGTTAAAAATTCATGTCATGTAAAAATTATGGTTTCTTCACGGAAGCCACTGTGTTTAATACTATGTTTTTAGAAAGTACACGTACTTTTCCCTCTGTGTTTTATATTAAGTATTATGTGTCATCAGTATTTTTTAACGATGAAGACACAGTAAGAATGATATAATGTTTTATACGGTACTAAACCTGGAGTTTGTTTGACGTTTACAAAATGTTAACGCTGTTAACCATTTTAAATACATTTTTTCATTCAAAGTGAGGGCAATACCCACAAGTCAACGGGCAGAGTTAATATTGGTCGAGGTGTAGTAACTGACATTGTCCTGACAGAGGGCGTTGTAGTACCATGTTTTGCACAGTAGCACGCTTTAGACCAGGGGTCTCCAACGCATCACTTGCTAGCTACAAGTAGCTCGTAGCCCCTTCAAAGTAGCGCTGCTATTAAATCGAGCATTCGTTTGAAAACGTAATTAGTCGCTCAGCCACTCGGCTTAAATTTTTATCCAAATTGTCCATTGTCCCACCTTTCAAAACAATTTTTTTTTGCCATTTAGCTACCAATTAATACTTGCGCATGTGTGAATATGCTCCAACAGGTAACAATATTATTTATATTATTATTATTTATATTGTCACTTTTTTCTAATTTATTTTTGTCACTTTATATACAGTGAAGTTTAATAATAGCTCAAACCAATCAATAATATATGAATAATTGTAATTTTTCTAGGGTGGGGTTACTGCAAATTTTACACGTGTGCATAATGTGTTATTTTCTGACATGGATATGATATTTTTAGTCGATATTTATGCATATTTTTTTCATGATTTTGATGATTTGTGTTGTTTCTGAGAATAATTATTTTTTTGGGACTCTATATAATTCTACTAACTATACTATATAATACTATATTATATGTATCTATATTAATATAGATAAAATTGTAACATAAAATAATTATGACTACAGATTGTCAATATGTGAATCTCATATAATTCAGTTAATTTTTGAGAGGGTACAACACCTGGTCTTAAGACTCATCTCAGAGGACATTCCTGTTCAGGAATGTAGGGCAATTACCATCGGCTGCCTGGAGGATATGGTTCCAGAAATACAGATCAGCCATGATCTGCTGTTAGCTCCTGTTTGGTTCCTGTGATTTTATAAAACTATCAAACTAAGTATAAATGACTCGACTGATTGGGAAAAAGTAAGAAAACAATAACTGAAGATAAAAGTGCCAACAGTGTACTGCCATAAAAGTATCATTGTCTGTGTGTTTCTGTCTGTGGATTGGTTACACAATCTCAGCTAAAGTGTTTCCCTGTTGGTGAAGGTGTCAGGGCCTCACAGTCTTTCTGAATGTTTTTTCACCCACTGCTGTTTCCTTTTGCCCAAGGGTGGATGTGTGGCCTCCAACAGAAACACCACCACGACCTTCCAGCATTCCAAAACACACACGTCCACACGGACAAAATGTCTGACACTTAACAGAAACATACAGCCTGGGAAGAACAACAAAAATATAATGCCCAAAAAAGAGAACTCAGAACAGGTTTTATTTTTCTAAAATGAATTTATATGTGAAGACAAAACACATTAAGAGAGTAAATCTATTTTGATCTGTCATCACATGGAAGTAAGCCAGGGTAGAGCAGCACACCTGCAGACA